AGTTTAGGATGAAAAAGGTTTATAGAATATGTCAGTCACAGATTAGGTTATCCTTTGTTAATGGGATTTTAAGATTATATGAAAAGGGTTTAAAGGCAATCATTGATTAAGTTTTCATGGATTAAGACTTCTGGTGAGTGGGAGACGCCCCTCCCACATCTGACTTTGTGTATAAAATACCCGTTGTAATTCCCAGTAACACATATCGCTTCTGCACTAGACTGGAGTCCAGTCTCTCTCTCTCTCTCTCTCTCTTTCTTCTTCCCCCCAATCACCGACGCCATCTCCACCTTTGGGGTACCCTGAACCCAGCTGGAGCTGGTCTCTGGCAGTAGACCAGTGACTCCTGTGTTAGAGACTCCCCTGGGCAACTGAATTACAGGCCATGTGACCTCTGCCTCAGTTTCCTCCTCTGCAGAATGGATATTATGATAGTATGTCTCAAGGATTTAGGGGATGTTGAGGTGAATTAATACATAGAAAGCACTTAGAATGGTGCCTGGCATACAGTAGGCTCTCAGTAGACATTGGCAATAGTTTTATTACCATTTTTATGATTGTACTTTATCTTTCAGACCCCCTTTGTAATAATCATGAATTAGGATTAAAACTGGGTGTACTTCATACGTTGTTGTGAGGATTAAAGTTTAAATGCAATAATTCAGATATCATGCTTGGATCAGAGTTTGCAGTCTAGAAAATACTGTGATGGACAGAATATTAGCCCCCAAACACGTCCATGTTCGAATCCTCAGAATCTGTGACTGTGCTATCTTACGTGGCAGAAGTGACTTTTCTTGTGTGACTGGGTTAGGGATTTTGAGTTAGCGAAGAGATCATGGATTATCCAGGTAGATATCCAGGTAGATTATCCAGGTTATCACAGGGTCCTTATAGAAGAGAGACAGGTAGTCAGAGAGGATGGTGGTATGGCAGCAGAGACTGGAGTAGTGCACTTTGAAGTTGGAGGCAGGGGCCACAGGCAAAGGTATGCAGGTGATCTTTGGAAGCTGGGAGGGGTAGGAATGCGTTCTCCCCCTAGATCCTCCTTTAGAAGGATCACAGCCCTTCTGAAACCTTGATTTTAGCCCATGAGGACCCAGGTTGGACTTCTTGCCTCCTGAACTTTAACATTAATATGTGCTGTCTTGTGCCACCAAGTTTATGGTAATTTGTTACAGAAGCAGTAGGAAATATATACACATGCTCAGTTAAACTGAGCTATTCATTTGATCTTTGTGGATGTGAAGATCATCTCCATTGTTATCTCTTGGAGCTCCTGGTGGTAGGTTGGTGTTTTGAATGTTAGGTTTTTTGATCAGAAGTCACCAGGTAGACACTGGGGCCTGAGAGAGTTGTGGCCTTTGATTTGTAGCCACACCTGGGTCAGGAAAGCCCACCTCTGTCCCCCACTCCCTGCCCATGCATCGTCTGCTTTTCTGACCAAGGAAGGGAAATCTTTGTCCCAGTTACATATTCCCGTCATCCAGGGTTGCTGTTGCCAGCCCTGGTCACCAGCCTGCTCTGGACATTGGAGGCAACATCTCCAAAGCTGTATGGTGGCTCCACTGTCAGGTGGTCATTCCTTTTTTTTTTTTTGGAGTATGAGTCTCACTCCATCACCTAGGCTGGAGTGTAGTGGCATGCTCACAGCCACCCCAGTGTCCATCTGCTGGGCTCAGGCAATCCTTCTGCCTCAGTCTTCCAAGTAGCTGGAACTACAGGTGTGCTACCATGCCCAGCTAATTTTTTTATTTATTGTAGAGATGAGGGCTTGCCAAGTTGCTCAGGCAATCCCCTCACCTCAGCCTCCCAAAGTGCTGAGATTACAGGCTTGAACCACTGGCCAGTGGTCCTTCTTTAGGTACAGTCAGGAGTTGCATGTGCATCTGGGAGGCAGGTTTCTCCAATGTTCCCACAGTGGGGACATTCTTAGGAAGGGATTTGCTGCAGAACAGAAGCTGGCTAGGTTCTAGCTCTTCTGAAAAGCTTTCATTTAAGAATTGGAGTGGAGTATAAAGATTCTCCTGTTAGGGGCAGCGCATTGGAGTTCCAGAAGGACACAGGTCTGTCCTTGTCACATGGCCTGAGTTGACTTCCCCATCCGCCTGTGTATAGTGGCCATCTGTGGCCTCCACAGTTGTTCCAGCGTTCATGTGACCGGCATCCTCACTCACTGTCAACTCTGTAATGCAGGCAGTGCTCCATCCTTGGGCCTGCACTTGACCTCAGCTGGCTGGATCTGGCTGGGACTCTGGGCTTCAGTATGCAGTCGACGAGGATTCTTTCCTTCCTGTTGTGCTTGGGGGGTGGGGGCGCTGTAGCCAGCTTGTGTCTGCATGGAGCCTGGAATGAGGCCATGGCATAGCAGGAGGAACAGAGCCAAGGGCCAAAGAGGCACAGAGCTGTCACTGTGTCCTTTGGGCCTTTGGATCCAGCCGTGCTTGATGTGACTGTCCAGCCCTGAACTTTTTGTTCATGTGAGCAATGGTTGCCGCAGCCTTCCCTGCCCTATTTTCAAGCTCGAGTTGGGTTTCTGTGGCTCTCGTGCTCCATGGCAAACTCTGACCTCCTTGCTGGATATGTTCCCATCCTGTCCTTGGGAGGAGCTGTTACTTCTCTGGAATTGTCTTTACTGGTACACAGCATTTGCCCTGTGTTGTGAGCCCCTCTCCTGCCCTCCCCTCTTACGAGTACACTCTGCTGTCTTGATCCATCTAGTCCCCGCAGTCCTGTTCTGTAGTGATGGGTTTTACACCACGAGCGCTCAGCCTCTCCATTTAATTAATCTGCCGTCAGCCTAGGGAGAGGGATGCGGAGTGGCCTGCTGCTGGTGGCATCAGAGTCCTCAGCAGCAGAGACAGGAGATGGAGTGGGAGGGACTTGACAGACGAGGGAGGCTGGGGAGCAATTTGAAAAGTTTGTTCTCAGAAATGGAAGAATACAATCGGGAAGTCACCAGCCCCTCCAGCATGCTGGTCTTTGCTGGTGTGTGTGCTCAGTGGTCCCTGGTGCTTTGTGCTCTCCCTGCGGTGTCAGCTTCCCCAGGATCCCTGAAAATAGAGTGGGACCATGAGAAGCTGGCTTCTGTGAAGGTGGATCGTCACAGGCTAGATGATTCTGGGGCCTACCTTGTTTCAGGGACTTGCAACATTGCTTTGTATTCTGCAGCCGGAGCCCTTCTGTGGGCTTTGGGCATCTCCACTTGCACGGCTGCTCTTTCCACCCCAATGTGTACAGGCGCAAAGCAAAGATGCCTTTGTTTGAGGCAGGCTTCTCTGGTTGCAAGGAAGAGCAATCCACTAAACTGGCTGGTGTGTGTGTGTGTGTTTGTGTGTGTGTGTATGTGTATGTCTGGCTCAAGGGGACAGACACAGAACCTCAAGGAAGAGCAATCCACTAAACTGACTGGTGTGTGTGAGTGTGTATGTGTCTGGCTGAAATGGATAGATACAGAACCTCATGGACACACAAATCAAACAGATCCCTTCACTCTGCTGCTTATTTTTCATGGGTTTCCAGTTCATACTTTAGGCTATTCTCAAACATGCAAGACTGGTTCCTACCTCAGGGTCTTTGCACTTGCTGCCCTTCTGCTGGAATGCTGTTTCCTGATCTCTTCCTGGCTGATTCCACCTTGTTCTCAAGTCACTTCCTTCTGAGTTCCCTGTCTTACATAGTATCCCTTCCTCTTTATCCTGTCACTGTACAGCGCTTATCAGCACCTCAAAGTATCTTGGTTGTTTCC